ATGTACTAAAAATATGTTGATGTTTTTGACAATTTCTTATGATTAACTGCTAAGTAGATTTACTACCCTATATACGCAGCAGTATCAATACGCAGCTATGATGCAATAAATGACATTTTATTTACAAGAATACGAAGAGTATCTTAATTCAGAAAGATTACCACATCAATCAAATCAATATTCATATAGTGGTATATTGCATCTATATCTGTTGCCTAATGGTTCGTAAGCAGTTGAAAATTTGCTTAGTGTTTCCGTAGACTAGTAAAAAATTCTTATACAAATTTTAATTGCAGTTAGTTTGCAATAAAATAAGACATCTGTCTTGTTCGAATTGCAGACTACTTTGAGAACCATTTAGCATTAACAATAAACTAGGTTCGACGCGAATCGCTAAATTCAGTGAAAGACCTTAGTAGTATGTCAATGCTGGCAATAGAGCTTTGTTAGAAGATTTATATTTATCTCTCCTTTGTATCAAACGAGACGTTAAGGATATTGCGACTATAAATCCTGTTTGGAAATTTTACTGAATGTTACGTTGGTGAGAGAAAGCCCAACTTTGAATCAGTTCATTTAATGGTAGCAAATAGGTGTCAAGCGGTCTAGACCCGACCACCCATGTAGTTAAAAACATAAATAAATAGCTGCTCATCGTGAGTAGTCCTAAAAACACTTCACCTTTTTTATATTTTAGTGACAGAACTCAAAACTGAGTTTTAAAGCTATTATTTTTAAATATGGCAACGATTTAATACGGTTTTCATCTGTATATAATAGGACATGCGTTTATAGAGTCAAATTGTTGACTTTGTTAAAGGCTTGCCTGCTTTAATTAGCCACTTACTTCGTACAAGTGCAACTGAAGTGTTCAATTAGACTCCGATGCTTAAATGATAATTATAATGAAGTTTACACAAATAATTATTTGCGTGGGCTCATATCAGATGTCAAACAGTATTGACATCGGCCACCAGGCTGCATGCTAATGCCCCTGTCATTGGACGCTAAAGGGCATTTAGTGTTTATACTCGTTCAACAGACAAAATCGTGATCTGAATAATAGGTTACCATTGTGGTTGCAGATTGCAGCTCCGCATTTATAACAGTCCGATTTAATTCAATTCATTTAAATAGCATTTCGTTGATAATGTGTTATATTTGAATTCTGAATCAATTTCATTTTCACGAATGTGAACAGATGCGCCGTTTTTACTTCAGTTAAGTTGTAAAAATATTTACTAATGGTAAAGATACCAAAACATTCATACCTGGTCCGCACACTGTCGGAAATGGAATTTCAGGAACATTTAAACGTATGACGCTACCCTCCTAATCAGAATTTCTAGTGACTTCGTAGTGGGACTATAAAAACTACTTATAACACACATTTAGTCATGCCGAAGTCATTTTAAAGTTAAATGACTGAACTGGTCATCATTTAACCAATGCACTGTCATATAAGCTTCATTTAATTATTTTTTTATTGCCCTTGTAGGCAGACGAGCATACGGCCCACCTGATGGTGAGTGGTTACCGTCGCCCATGCACTTCAGCAATGCCAGGGGCAAAGCCAAGCCGCTGCCTATCGTTAAGTACTCTCCACAAGTCTCGTTTGAAGAAGGATATGTCATAGCGCTCGGGAAACACCGTGGAGGGGAGCTCATTCCATAGCCGGATGGTATGTGGCAAAAAAGGTATCTGGAAACGCACTCTGGATGAACACGCAGTGGCTCCAGGTAGTATGGATGAACTCTACTCCGGTGGCGGGCGGTGCGATGGTAAAAACGAGATAAAGGTATCATCTCAAACAATCCCTCAGAGCACGGGACATCAAATCACGTCGAATAGAATTCAAATCACAATGCACAGAAGAAAATACCTGATATATCAATATCAATATTAATACGGAATACTAAAATCCGAACACGAAGATCATCATGGCACGTACCCAAAAATGAATGACCGTATCCAATAATCCAGCTTCAACATCATAGCGTTATAGGTAGATATGTACATAATTTTCGAACGTCATCGGTTAACACACAAAGGAATAACAACTATAATTGTGGAATCGAATAGTGGCCCAAACATCAGTACTGGTTGTTTGGGTTGATTTTTAATAAAACAGGACGTATCATTCGTTTAGTAAATTTAATACAGTGTATTCTTAATGTTTGTAAAATTACAACATTCAGCTGTCGGTGATTTTGTTCTACGACTCGCAACGACAAGCAAGTAATTTTATTCTTTTTTTTTTTTATTGCTTACATGAGTGGACGAGCTCACAGCCCACCTGGTGTTAAGTAGTTACTGGAGCCCATAGACATCTACAACGTAAATGCACCACCCACCTTGAGATACAAGTTCTAAGGTCTCAATTATAGTTACAACGGCTGCCCCACCCTTCAAACCGAAACGCATTACTGCTTCACGGCAGAAATAGGCAGGGTGGTGGTACCTACCCGCGCGGACTCACAAGAGGTCCTACCACCAGTAATTACGCAAATTATAAAACTATCCGACAAATACTACACAATCGCATTTTAATTTTATGATATCTAAGCTACGATGGCTGCGAGCACCAGATAGTCCATTAATGCATGACAGATTATTTTCTGCATATAACATACCCGGGAACTTTGGCAATTTGTTGACATTATTAATGTTACGGTCAACAGTAAGAAGACACGTTCTATGTTTTTGTTTCTCGAGACTATGTACATAATGAGTAGGTATGAGAGCGTTGGCCTTTTTTTCTGAGTTATATGTACGTAAGCTGTGTTCACATTCCGTTTATTATTGAACATTCGTCAGGCTTTCAAAGGAATTACGCATACAAGTTTGTGGTGTACCATAATAGTGGTCGATTGAGACTTCATCTTCGTGCCTCATTCCCGTCTCATTCAGGTTTCGTTTACATAATTATGTACTTCCAAAATTCCGTATCAGAGTAGCAGGTCGTGGGCCTATACCCAAGAAGTTAATATCGTTATGAAGATCGAACATACTCATTTCGATTATTCTGTATCATTACTATTCTGCAGAGGTTACATGTAATACGTACGCATATTTTTCTGAAAGTATAAGCAATAAAAAATGATCACGAGTATGTACTCAACAAGCCGGCAGTCTATTGGCGATGACAGTTTTGAGACATATAACTGCTTGCTTAGACAATATTAAAGTTGGCAAACGATAAATTGTAAATGTTATCGTACGAGGAAACGTTACATCTATTGATTACTGACGTTTTATTTGCAAACAATCGATTTTAGATTGTGTATTTATTTGAATTCGCCGGGTCGTTGTCCTGATTATAATCGCTTTCTACAATGCGTTCGCGATTCTATTATGACACGAAGGCATTGTGGATAAGTTACGGGAGCTCGGAATGTTTTTTCATTCCCAACAAGGAGTGGGCGAGCTCGAGGGTTCAGCAAAAAGAAAGAGGAGAAGGTTTCTAACAACTGCCCGGCCTCCGAAGGCTGCTTCCAAAACGCATCTACCACAAGATAGGAATCGCGACCCGCTAAGAAAACACGTCGCGGAACTTGGCGGATTGGTGCTATAGGGCTGTTGAACGTTGAACTCTTCGACGAGTACGGTGACATGTACTTGGGCTGCTCCTTTTTTTTTTTTTTCCGTTGTGAAATCCTCATGGACTACCTCCGCCTGGGGAAAAGCGGAGGGGCGTGCCGGACTTCTACCGGCTAAAACCACCCCGGTGACTTGGGCTTGACTTCTACTTTCTTGCTCCTAGCGTAAGAAACAATAGCGTCCAAAAGCACCGAAAATAGATAGAGATCAGAACGCGTTTACGAATGACGAATCTACATAGAATGAATTATATTATGCGAATAATCGTATGTATGTTCTATTGCTACCTTTGTTGCTCAGTTCTGCTGCAAAGAAATAGTGCATTCGACTTGATGAAAACCCAACTTACCAAGATTGAAAACGTTTCAAAATGTAGCGGGAATTAACCCAGATTCAGTAATGTGACCAATAGTTATGATGTTTATTTAACATAAAAAGGTAATAGTCATATTTCTGCGAATATCATTTTAGTAAAGTGCATTTTAAACAACGCTTTCAGAATGATAGTCGATTTACAATTCAATTATGTTAATTATATATTTATAAATATAGTTTGATATTTTTAATGAACACACTGCAGTCCAATGTTTTTCTTTCATGGTCTTCTAAGCTTTTTCTAACAGAAATTGCTTCTATTTGTTAGTTAGTAGGCTTTTGTATTGATTTTTGTTTTTTTTTTTTTCAATTCACACAACATTAGTTTCAATGTTAGGCAATGGAATAAAAGCAAACACAAGGGCATCGCCTTGAGTTGTTCACGATTCCTCACATAACACAGCCGTTTCTACTTTTATGAACTACCCGTGACCTTCGACGTCTGAAATACTTAATTCATTTATAGCGGTAAAGCAATCGATTACTTAGACGAGACAGTTCGTCTTATATCTCGAAGCATAAATCAATTATTTATGTTTCGTGCGTAATGTGTAAATGTAAGTAATATTGAAGCGAAAGCCTTTTCCTATTCCTTCAAAAAGTTATGATTTAGCAAGCGAGGTCGTGTGAGATAATGAGGACTGATTTACATCGAGAGATCATCTCGACTGAAAAAGAACGAATTCATGATCTTACTGTCAGCAACATAAGGTGCTGTGCAAAAGCAATAAGTACGATACCTTTCACACAATGAAAAACCCCCGCATCAATGTCCGCTACATACACACGGTAATCGAGAAGAGTGAGCACGCACACGATTTATTAGTGTTGATACGACAGATTTTCGTCAATATTCTATTTCTTTCGAATTCGCGAAACTTTTTATTTAGGTATATACAAAACTGACTTTTATCAGTATTAATCTAAAACACTCCGTACCAAACGCTCTGTGGCGTATTTACCAATACTAAACTAAATAACTCGATCTATCATTAGCGACGACTAATCCGAACATTCTGTTTCAGGTTACGAAACAAAACGCGATATTCCCGAGTTGTGAAAAATGTGCGAACAGTCTCATAGTGCAAAGACAAGTTCGTGCGCCATAAGAGTGCGAGTGACACATGAGTGATACGTCGTGAGGACTGGTTGAGGCGATGACCGCGTGAAGTTCGACCACGACGTCGAACGGTTCCGAGTGGGGGACGCTGGCGACCGCGCCCAGCGATGGTATGGACGGTGCATTCGAGAACGAAAGCGACCGGGGATGGAATTCGACCGAAGAGGGGACGGATGCGAACTTGTACAACTACTGGGCTTGGAGCATCGTCGACGGTTCCCTCATGGTGTTGATCGTGAGCGGGAATACTCTCACCATCCTCGCCGTCACGCTGAGCAGAAAATTATCATGTTTAGTATCCAACCAGTTCGTACTAAACCTGGCGATATCAGATCTAATGGTCGGCCTCACCCTGCCGTACCACCTCGTTTTCTACCTGGACGATGAATTCGGAACGGTCAAATGGACGTGCTTAATGAGATTCATTCTCATAATATTAGCATGTTTGGCGTCCATTTACAACATCATAGCTATAGCCGTAGACAGGTGAGTGGCGTGCCGTGAGTAAAACGCTCACGTCAGCATACGAATTTCTTTGCCCTTCGACAGTCGTAATTCAGAGAATTGTCTGATAAAAATAGAATTTTACCTTTTGCCGTACTGTCACGCTATCCGATCACGAATTATAAATTTAAATTCGTTGTTCGTGTGTTACAGGTACATAGCGATCGTGCACCCGCTCCATTACAGCCGGTACATGACGAAGCTGGTGACTCGAGTGCTGATGAGCGCCACGTGGTCTGTGGCCGTGTGCATCAGCTGCATACCGATATTCTGGAACGAGTGGCATGACGGAATTGCCTGCGAAATGAACATGGTGAGTGTGATTTGAAAACACAACGGTTCATTTATTTGTGCAAGATCAAGGTCCTTAACATGTTGTACAATAATGTTTTTACAACTGAACTATGATATGCCCATTGGGATAAGAATGCGCTTGAATCACGTCTATCGAAGCTCAAGCATTATCAAAAATTCTCGTGATTGGCACATCGTTGACAACGCTAATGACGTAGTAGGAAAATCCTCTATATGTACCTACATCAAGTAGACAAGTCTATCTGTATCTGTACCTTCCACTTTAATACAAGATATCTATCAAGCTTGATTGCTATGTTTTCAATATTACGTCTTTAGAACGGTTTACCGATCCACGTTTAATTATGGAATGAACCTAAGCGTTCTACGTAACGATTCAATAAAACGTTAATCACTCGTTTTATTACATCATAAAGTAAACAGTTGCTCTAAACTCGTCTTTATTTGCACTTCTACTTAGTTGTTTTTATAACCTTTGATCGTTGTAAAGGTTCGCTTTTTGTTGGCGTAGATGGGCGGACAAGCTCACGGCCATTCTGCTCTTAAGCAACCCATATGATACAACAACGGAAGAACCATACGTCATCAAATATACCTTAAATCTTGATAACACTGGCATAGGGAATTATCTCCAAAAGCGTCTCAAGGGATTGCTGTTTCAACACGAATGCTGAGGAGCCATGCTTTGTATAAATTTTTAAATCTTTTAATATTTTAACAAATACCCTACTACTACTGTGGTAATATTAAAGATTATCAAGATTAATTGACCTAGTCGAGTGTCAAACGATAAACTCATCTCAAGATAATTACTAATTAAAAATAATTGTAGTCAATTGATTACTATACTAAACAGAAGAGTGTAACTTACAACACAGCGGCATTATCATTGTCCTTTAGAATAAAACATTGCCTGTTTGAGGCCGAGCGCGGACCACTATTATTAAGTTTTTTACTAAGAACTTTTTATGAAGTATCTACAAATTGAAAAAAGATAATTATGCCAGTTAACGGTAAAGCAGAAGCAAGTTCTGCTTTGTCAACATCGATAAGAAGTAGTAACCGCTACTTAGCAGGTGGATCGTATGCTCATGTTTCTGAGACAACAAAAAGGTCAAGATTGCCTCACATTTTCCTTGATTCCTTGGGCGATTTTGACAAAATATTGTTTATTTCTAGGTGGTACCGAAGTCATACACGACGAGCATCTTAGCGCCAATGTTCTCTTTGATATGGATGGTCATGTTCATTCTTTACTGGCGGATATGGCGCGAGGCAACTTGCCACGCGAGACGGATGCGAGCCAACACTTGTTGCCCTACCGGAGCCAATGACTGGAAGAGTATACAGGTAGACTGATGTTACTAATTCCTAATTGATTGAACAATAATAATTAAGTCCGTGTACCGACATCTATTGGTCACGATTAGAAACTTCTAAATCGAGCTAAAAAATATTAGGTCCGTTAATAAAAAAATCGGACGTTTTTTTCGAGCAAAACCAAGGATCAGGCAGGGACGTGCTATCTTGTTTTTAAACAAGATGGTTTGTAAAACCACCCTCAGCGTTCCCAAAAATATTATTTATATATAAATAAATGTGCTAAAACTGAAAATTTACAATGTTGACCTTATCCAAACCTATACCATATTAAATCGTGGGCATAATATAACACTTGTCTTTTAATTTTCAGGTCGTACTGCTGGTTCTTGGATCGTTTTCCATATGCTGGATGCCGTTCGTGGTAGTGGCTTGCGCACAGACCTTACCGATTATGCCGTTACACAATCACATCGCTTACAGACTAACCTCTTCACTGGCCATGTCCAATTCAGGAATCAATCCTCTTATTTACGCTTGGAAAAATGCTGGATTCCGTGCGGCTTTCGCTAAACTGCTACGTTGCAAGCGACCTGACACATCGGAATACAGAGGATCACCGGCACCGGAAAGGAAGAGAGGATCCGTGGCTTTACGTGAAGGCTCTATCACTCGATCTAGCGCTCCGGCCGCTCTATCCAGCATGGGTGGTCGTCCTGCAAGACTGTTGTATGTCGAACAGGATTCAGATACATCTAGATGCCGCATCATTGAAAACGCTGGGTATGTTGACTCGGAGAGGGGTGATTCCAACCCGTCTTATGCTCCCGACGGTCCGACACCCGTCCACAATAAGACCGCGGCCTGCTCCCCGGACGCAGTGTAGTGCAATAAAACGACAAAAGACGTTTAGTGGGAAAAATAAAACGCTTCTAGTTAAATCATTAGTGACATTAGGGTACAGTTTTCGCATTTAGGTGCCTGTTTAAATCTACTCGCTCAAGTTTTTCAAAAGCTTTATTGTTGAAATTTTATTCAGAGATTACGATTAGTTCCCCTACCTACCTGAATTAAATGGTTCTCTGTAAATGGTGTTTAGATTATGTAATTAAAAAGATGTTCTATGTAATATTAAAAATTAAATATATTATTATGGTTAAATGTAAATAGGTCTCTGTCATTTAATCCTTAATTAAATATATGTAATGTGTAGAAAATAAACCATGACAGGCTGTGGAAGACCATGGACGTCTGGTGTAATATACTTCTATTGACTGCACTTGCAGCACTGAACAAAACATAAACTATTGCAAAACCGGGTCTCAGAAGTCAAAGAAGTGATCGGTCGAATATGATGTATCTAACGAAAGTTAAACAATCTAATATATTTTTAACAACATCAAAATAATTAGTAATAAATTAAATCCAAACCTAATTTTAAGATAACAGTAACGCCATCTAGCTTTTAAGTATCAAACTAAAACATCACTCTTATGAATTTACTACCGCCACCTAACTTCTGTTATTTAAAATATTTTATTATGAACATTTTATTAAATTCAACTAAATAAGTACCTATTCAGTAGCTTACTTACAAAGACATCGCCAAAATTCGTTGTTTGTAACTTAATACATCTTAGATTTTGATTATTAGACTGCAAGGTTCAGAGAAGTTACTTAGATTATTAATTTTTAATCTAAAGGGGCGTACAGTGTTTTCTATTTTAACTACACCACTGCTTTAGCTACCGTGTTCATTTTGGTACCATATGTGGTACGTGAATTACAGTAAAAAAAATGCAAACGTAAAAGGCGAAAGTGTATATTTTGAAATTTACGCATATAAAGGAAATTTGGGCGAGGCCTATGTTCAACAGTGGACGTCTGTGGGCTGATAGAATAAAATAGAAAAAATTAAAACTTTAAAACTGTATAGTAGCGTAGTCCGTTTTATAGTTACGTAAAATATTTGTAAATATGGATCACCATATAGATGCGGCCGCCCTGCTACTAGCCACATGAGGTCTAAGTCCCATTTATGTAAAGGCAGCCCGACTGGGATTGCTGTTATAAGTATAATTAAACCGGAGCACATGACTTCTTTGTCCGAAATAGGCATGCCGGTGGAATCAACCCCTACGTGATTGCAACCAGTATACGCCAACTGGCGATCGCTTTTCAGAGAACGCAGCTGTCCACTCAGCAATTAATGTATTAGTCGCCTTGTACGACACCCACAATAAGAGATCAACGGGTTTTTTTTCCTACGTAAGCTGATAGCCTTGAGAGGCTATTTCAGTGTAACCTTAACTAGTAAGTGAGCTCACGGGGCTAAAACCTGACGATGTTGCTAACACGAACCCTAGCAAGATCCGTGTTTCGCAGAATCTACCACCGGATCGGAAACGCGACCCTCTGAGAAGATTCGGCGAGAAACTCAGTGGGCTGTGTCTGTGGGTTAATTTACTCGTTGAGCCCTTCGTTGCAAGCGACGGGTTCGACGAGAACGATGACCAGTGCTTGAGGTACCTAAAAGCACCGTTAGTGGATCGGGAGGAATCAACAGGTGTCTTTAAGGCCAACAACACAGTTTCTTACAAACGAAAATGAATCACTCGTGTCCTAATGATGTAGATGTATCCTGAGGCAAATTCTAAATAGTCTGAGTAATTTTACATAGGCGTGTGTTCGTACAACTATCACAATGAAGGAGTAGCATCGTGTGACAAAATGTAACCCGAGTCAAGCCTGTACGCGGTGATATCAGCGCCCTACATACACATTTCTGTGGCGAACAGGTAATCGTTAGTTTGCCGTATTACCGTAGTACCGATATTGTTTCTCATATTTAATCGAGAGGTAGCACGCGCTGTCGAGATGTACTTCTGGTAAGAGCTTAATATCAGGTAAGATCGTTTATCTGCCATCCCTGACCTTACAGGTAAGTTCTCGTTGGTAAATTAATAATTATGTTATAACCTATCTAGTGGACAAACGAACTTCTTCCACATTAATAAATCGTTTAAGAATATCAAACTCACAAAATTTGTGAATTTACTGGTAGCATATCGTGTCCGGGACACTTATTTTGTTCGACAATAGATATGTCTGCCGCTACATCTCTTTATCTGTTTGAAAGGCGCTGATAAAGTTAAATAATTGATAACCTTCTCAAAGAGAATCCTTCAAAGGAACACATTTCGCCTCACAAAGTACATTACATTTCGTAAGTATAAGTAATAGAGAGGTAACTTTACGTGTGACATCATTAAGGGTCAAAATAGATGAACCATTAACCTTAAACGAACATACAACAATTAGTCACATAACAATATACGTTATGTTTTTAAGCAGTTTAGGTTGTCATAAAAAATGTTAAAATTATTATATTTTATTCAGTGATTTCAATTGGGCTTCAATCATTAATCTATTAATCTATATCTATATGACTGGACCGATTTGGCTAATTTTGGTCTTAAATTATTTGTGGAAGTCCAGAGAAGGTTTAAAAGGTATGAAATATATGAAACTTCTCGGAATTAAATAAAAATAACAATTTTGTTTGTCCTTTGATGTGTCCCCCATCGGACGGATTCCTTTTGTCTTTTATTTATCGATTGAGGCACTACGAAGTCTGCCGGGTCAGCTAGTGTTTCATAAAAATAGTGCTCGGACAATATGTTAAATGATATGCCTGACGACTTTTAGATTGTTTTGTGATTTCTTATCGTTTGCCTTGTTTATTTTTATTGTTTGATTTGTGATTATTATGAAACTAGCGACCCGCCCTCGCTTCGCTTCGGAAACAGTAAAACACACATGAAACAAAAAAAAAATTAAATTTTTTTTTAAAAAAAGTAGCCTATGTTCATCAGGGACAATGTCGGCTTCTAATGGAAAAAGAATTTTTCAAATCGGTCCAGTAGTTTCGGAGCCTATTCGAAACAAACAAACAAACAAATCTTTCCTCTTTATAATATTAGTATAGATATTAGTATAGATAAACTAAGAAGATTGGCTATTAGTTATGGAATATCGGCAGTGGCTCAGTTTTGTTTCCAACTAATACTTATTTTATGACTATTGATAGCAAACACCTCACCAATACATGGCCTCATTTGCCTCATATTTCAAAATGCTTAATACTTAAAACGCCATAATGCATTGCTGACGTCCATGAGCGACAGTAGCCGCTTACTATCAAGTAGGTCGTATACTCGTCTGCCCACAAATGCAATAAATAAAGATGTGTCCACGGCATACTTTCCGATAGGGCCGCACCAATACCAATATATCAAGATCGTCCAAAAATCGTTGAGGTGTTTTTTTCGCAAATATTGTGCAAAAGCAGTGACTACTCATTATCTTCTGAGAATTGTCACATTAAAGACTCACGGCGTCCGTCGCGGCCCACTAGGCTAAGCATGGTTTCTAGTTGGGCGTTCAACGTGTTAAGGAAACCGGTTCTAACGGCAGCGATGTCAATAACCGCTTTTTTATATATTGATTGTCATTAAATACGACTATTTGACGACTTGCACATATTTTTTCAATTTAAATATTTAAGCCGGCTGACTGTACACATATCAGAGGAATGTGAAATGAAAGGCTATTTGGTTTAAGCGACATTTTTGAAACTATACAGGAGAGCCATTCAAAGTTTAAAATTTGGAAAAAATATCATAACAAAAGAACTTCTCGCAGCTATTTCAAGGGTGTAAACATAATGAAGATCGATTAAAAATATTGAACTGTTAATGCCAATCTATATCTATACTAATATATAAATCTACAGTGGTTTTTACGGATGTTCCGTTATAACTACTGAACCATGCATCCGATTGACTTGAAACTTGGTATCCATGTAGAAAATACATGTACTTAATGGATAGGCTAATATTTATATGAGTGTTGGACTCCCTACACCAGTTGCGGGGGTGTTAATGATGAGAATCTTTGTGAGGGTGAGAAATAATAACGTTAATTTTAAATGCCCAGCGAAGCGGACAGCTAGTACTGAATAAAACAGACCTTTAATCACAAAGATAAAAGTCGCATAGTAAGCGAAATGTCGCTTAAACCAAATAGCCTTTCTCACCTCGACATGTACATTTCTCGTACCTTAGACAGTACAGAACAATTCCTTAATCATGAAAATTGAGCGGGTTTAAGTTATTTTTTTAATTGAATGTGATATAATCAAAACACTCACCTCGACTCCAGTCACTCCAAGAGCTGCGACCAAGTTGGGCGTCAGCCGGAAGGGTACCTTCTCCGGCACACGGAGAGTCTTGCCTTTCTCGAAGCACACGTTATAGTCTATATGCACCACTTCACCGGACGTTAAGTCCACCAACACATTGTCCAAATGTCTATCACCTAACCCTATTATGTATCCGATAGTGCTCATCACGGCAACAGAGTAACTGTACCGGCGAGTCATCTGCCACCACTGTTCCGGCGTCACGCTACCACACCACAACTCTCTCCACAGTAGATCACGGGGAGTTTCTGCTGTTAACTCCTGCAGTACTTGCTTCAGTATCGTCACGGGCCACTCCTTTCTGTTGTCGGTAGAAATACCCGCTTCTTTTAACAACGGATTCAGTTTGTTGTAAAATAGTTCTGATGGACGCAAAACGTTGACAGTCTTGTTCGTTTTGGTTGATATAACGGCGGCTTCACGATTCTGCCAACGTTTGTACAGGGCAAAAAGTGGTGTTACATTATCTACCCAACTAATGAGACCAGACCTGGGTCCCAGAGGAATTACGGAATAATGCCTCGCTCGGTACGTTTGATTGTTGTTGTTTTCGGAATCTCGCGCCAACATTGTATTGGTTATCGATAGCAGTTGCATAATTCTCTCATCTAAATGTAAATCTTCCAAACCTTTGAACAAGTACGTGTAGGATTTTCCATCGGAACCGTAAAACACTAACTTTTTAGGCCTTGTCTTGGTTGGCAGAATAGCAACGTTATTTTCTACAGATCTTATAGTCACTCTGACCGTTCTTTGATTTGTGTGCACACCGGGCATAGTGATAACCGTGTTTTTCATTTCAGCGAGAACTGGACTAATATCGGACATCCTCAGTATATAAGAAGTTCTCTTATTAACTTTCTGTTGGAGTTTGATTTGTAACTGCTTAAACGGAGCCCACGATTCTTGTGGTTTTTCAGGATTCGTAGGATTCTTTAACTTGTCGATCACATCAACAATTAGAGACTGAAATTTTGCCTGGAACGCAACCTCGTGTGGTGTCTCAGGCTTTGCTGACGTCACGTGCTGAAGTTGTTCAAGAACAAAAACTATAGGTTCGAATATAATGCGATGTTTTTCTTTTATTAATTTTTCTTTGTCTTCTGCAGATAGATTTTCGTTATTCTTCACTATTGTTACTTCAGTTTCCAACTGCGCTAGCCTCTTAGTAAAATCGGAGTGATGTTGAACCAGAGTTCCTAAGCAGAGTTCATCCCATAGTAAGTTGATTCTTTGCAACTCTTTGACCAGTAGTTTTACTTGGAGTATAGTTGTGGGAGCCTGATTCGCTAAAGTCTCAACCATGTCTAGAAAGCATGAATTCAACTCGTTGTTGACCACTTTATCGCTAGCAGCATCATGGAGGTCAAGATTATCTTCACAGCTTTCGGCATCGTTCGAGAGTAAAGATCTAGCAAAATTCAACTCAGGCAATTCAGATTGCTCGTTTTCCACTGCACCAACGACGGCTGGAAAGGTGATCAAATGAGGAGTGTCTTCCGCAAGTCTACAAAGCAAATCTGAAACACACTTCCTTACGTATGTCTCAGGGTGATTTAGTCTTGAAAATAGTTGTGGAATTATTACTTTCCACGGTTGTGTAGGCGTATTGGCCAATCCAGATTCTAAAACAGTCTGCAATTCCATGGCATGTTTCACTATCAAACGTAGCAGTCTCAAAGTAGCAGTGACCACAGCATTTTCCCCACTGTGGTTTATGTAGTCAGAAGCGCATATCAATTGAAGGAACTTGAAATATGCATCTGCCGATAATTCGAAGTACGAAAACACTCGTTTCTGGGCTTGTCGCCATATGTCGACTAGGAGCGCCAAATGTTCGGGGAAAGCATTACTGAGCGACGGCACGGTCCTTAACTGACTTTCAATCATTTCCGATGTGTTAATCTCATTCCAATCTATGTCTTCGTCATCACATGTAGCTTTAGTCTTAGAAAGAATCTCGCAAACAGCTTCAAAATCTTCAGGAGAACATCCAATCATAACGCTTTCGATTTGCAGTTTGTCATTTTCAGTCAATTGTTCCCTCGTTTTGGAACTGAATTCGACCATTTTCCTACCCCATCTAAAGCACCAAGCTGCAAAATTTGCCCACGCTTTGGCCAATCCTGGGCACTGATTGACTCCAAATTGCAATAATTTACCAACAGCAGAGTCCGTTAGCGGAATTACATTCTCGGAAACATTATTATCCACTAAGCCAATTTCAGGCAAAGCTGATACTAGTTTTGATAATGGCGAATCAACGTCTAAAACATTTTCTGTTTCACTCTGAACCCATTTAGAAAGAGTCAAGAGCATCCTAGTGCCCCTTTCACGAAGCTCATAACTCTGTTCACCCATTGCTAGTCTTTGAGAAAATCCAAACGAAATACTAGCACACAAATTAATTGCTGGCATTTTCGTATCTTCTTTTGCATACGCCAATTTACAGAGTTCGGTCAAAGCACAAGCATTATTAGGAGTCCAAATATCTAAATTGTATGAATTTGTAGACATAAGCAAAACTTCACTCAATTCTTCCAAATTCTCGACTTCACCCAGATACAACTGGAATGCAGAGTTATTTTTAAAATGTTTTAGAAGTTCCCTTTTAGCCATCATGATGTTAGCGTTTTTTCTCGCACTCTTAATAAGGTCTAGTCGAAGACTTTCAGTGAAGAAAACATTTTCTTCCGTCACATTCAAATCTGTAAAGTATTGATTCCACCACACTACTCTGCTGAGGTTTTTCAATTCAGTCACATATTTATGTTCTTTCACGCTAGATGGTTTGAAAGGGTTTGTTAAAACTTTCCCATTTTTAACGACATTCATCAATCCGTGGTTTGCTAGTTGTAGTACAGCTATTTCCTTCAAAAAATGTATGGAATTACTTCTGGTGAACTCTTCTGTGGCTGAATTTAGTAGTTCTTGACAATTTTTCAATAAAGTTTCATATTTTTCATTGTAATCATTGTAATAAACATTCGCTGCTGTGCAAATGAGAGTTGATTCTATCTTATTCAACAATGCTTGGTATGAACAGCTGTTTTTAGATATTTCATTACTTTCGAGTTCCAATACATTCCAATTACAGAGTTTTTCAGGAATTTGCGCATCCTCTTCGAACATCTTTAGAGCAGATAAACAGTACCATTGTGAATTTGGATTTTGTTGGTCAATATCCTTCCATTCTTCTATTTCTTCCCAGCTTTGAATATGCTTGTAGCTTTCTATAATCTGTTCATCTATGAATTTAAGACATCTAGAGTCATTGTATAGTGAAGTGATCATAGTCTCTTGTTGAGCATCATTCGGCTTGATATTCTTTAATTTCTTGAAGAAGCCTAATGCTAATTCATGTCTCGAGTTGGCTTGTTCTGCAGCACCTTTTAGCCAAACAAGTTTCTTGTCAAACGTCTTTTTAATCCAAACATAAAAGCCGTGTAAAACTTCCGGTTCTTCAATTTTAATAAGGGCACGTGCTATAGTCATTGTTATGGCTTCAATGTCAATATTAGTTTTAGAATTCGCTGCAGCTTGTAACATCAAAGAGGCGTGATATATCGCAGCACCAAAATGTCCTGCATGCAGACTTACAGCCAGTGCGGCAGGGCGCACTCTTGTTAACCATTCTCTACAAGTAGACCAATTAGTGTGAAAAAATGTTTTCACTGGTTTGCTAACTGCTGGTAATACTGTAGCTGTACCTTCAGCTGCATTGTAAATATATTTCTCCAAGAATATCATAAACTCAGTAATCCATGAAGACCTCATTTGCTCCATTTTTATGGTGGATATTAAGTCATTACTATTTTTACTTGTGTATTTTGTGTCCGTTAATGAAACTTCTCTTGCCATTGTTTTTAAGGCACCTTCTATTTTCATGAAGGTCTCTTGTGGCTTTCCCAGGACTGTTCTTAATTTTACTGAGACACATGTTTGTGCGACCTCAGAGAGTGCCCAGCTAACACAAACAGAATCAAAAGTCATTGCACACTGTCTGAAGAAGAGCTGGTTTTTGTCATCTGTATCTCCATTTTGTAAAGGCCAAGTGGATAGAAATGAATCAAGTATAAAGGTTTTTTCCACTGGTACAGATACTAATAGTGAATTCATTATCGGTTGAAAGTGTTGTTGTGACAAAGTACAATATGTTCCTCTCATTAGGTACTCTTTGAAGGAGTTGAATTTCGTGTCACAATTCAAAATATTCAAACTCATTTTACGACTTGTGAATACTTTTACCACTTGCTTGTCTAATTCCAATTGCACGATATCCCAAGGTAGATCAAACAGTACTTGCTTGCAGACATCAGCCAGGTTCTTATTAAAATTGTCAATATGCAGCAAACATAATACTGCTATTTTTTTTAACAAAATGAGATTCCAAGTCAAACTTTTATTCTTCAGTAAATGGTGGCAATTATTCATGATTAGTAATACAACATCATCATCAAAGCAGTGAACTAAGGTCAACATGTTTGTTACCAAAACTAGAAAGCCATTACACAAGCTCACAATTGGCAAATATTTCTCCAGCTGGCAAAAAATATCAGATATCCAACTCAATACAAGTACCAAAGTTTCTTTTGGTACATCTTCAACAAGAATCGTACTGATTGTATTCAAAATCACAGCAAGATGACCAGATGTTGGACTTGAGCTTGAAACATCTCCTAAACTCAGATTGGCTAAACCAAATATATCACTAGCTCTCTGTTGGGTATTGCTCATTAAATCACTTGAAGCTATGAAGTGATTATTTTTCTTGCAATGTGAGTACAAAAGGTACAGTATTGAATATTGTAGAGCTGGTTTGTAGCCACCTAATATTTCACTATGCGGACACATTTTTATGGCTAGCAGTTCCAGGATGCTTGGTTGAAGTGCCCACATGCCAATTATAGAATTACTCGCATTTGCAAGCTCAGACAAACATTGAAGATAAAATATTACATTTTTCTCTGCATGTTCTTCTTTAATTTCTTCAAAATATTCTGCTTTTATAATTGATATTTCAGGTAAAATGACCGAATATGCATTCTGGATGTCAGTCAACACAAATTTGTAGGTCTCTTGCAGTAGAGGAATATTCTTCAAGTTTAACAAATTACTGTAAACTGACAAAATGCTGTTCAATATCAGTATACTCTCAGAGTAACGAAGTGGTCTCAGTAGTGACCCTGGACCTATTGTTTGTCCAATAAATTCGATGGGGAGGTTAGATGCGATTTCCTTAATTGTTGTTGACACTAAATTAATTACACTGAGGCATACATTCTCATCAAATTGCAGGTATTTTTCCATCTCCATATAAATCAAGGGGTACAAACCTAAAGCACAAGATATTGATTTAGACTGCAGATATTTCAGGAGCAACGAAATGCATTCATTACCAGCTAATATTAAATCAGATTCCACATCATCCTTGAGTGATTTCTTTAAAACCTCTAGTATTTTTGTGAATGTTTCTGTTAAAAACACCCATGTGACAGTATGTGAGACCGTAGGGCTTAAAAGATTTCCTAAGCTCTTGACGACTGTGTTGAAAACATTCAAAAAAGATGTAATTTTTTGTATGTCATCTCCTTCACTTTTTCCAGACTCCAGATCAAGAGAGTGAACAGTCAAATCTTCGACAAAATGATTCAATAAATTGACAGAGAATCCCACATCAGCTTGCCAATGCCTACTCAATTTAAACAATGACTGTAAAGCAAATTGTTTAATTTTATTTGGTTGGGCATTGTCTACATGCCAACCAACCAATATGTCTACAGTGTCTACAAAGTGATTGGCAAATTGCACTGGATATGAATTAGACATGACTAACATAGCATTAATGGCAGCCATGAACACATCAGCTGAGTCTGTACCCTCGATTATTACTTGTAGTCTGTCAAGAGTTTGTTCTGCAAATTCAGACAAGTCATGATTTTGATAATCCAATTGGTATGTTTCAATTAAAGACAATGTCAACAAGTGTTTGATTGAGTTGTTATGGACAGAGTAAGTAGCTACTATCCAATCAAGATGTTTTCTAAAGTCCGGACCCATTACATATCCTATTCTTCCGAGCACTGCAGCAGCGCCTTCCTTTGTTTCAGGACCGGGGCCATCATAAAGCACATCCAACAGTGATTCCACCAAAATTTCGTAAGACCTTCGTATGTATCGTGTGTTTTCTGGCATCATCACAGCGTCTTGAAGTTTTCTACATATGGCGAGCGACTTTTCGACGTCACTTTCAGCACAAAGACGCCGTAGCAGTTTTGAGATGCGTGGATCTTCTGGCAAATTCAAAACTAAATCTGATCGCTCATAAAATGTGCTGTCGTTATTTCCTTGAGACCAGGAGTCGCCCACGGGCTGATTTAACGGTTCGTGATATTTATAGGAATTATCGAAGGGATCCCGTTCGCCGCGGGGCGGGAAACCGCCTCGACCGCGACTGCCGCCTCGACCGCCACGTGACGGCCGAAATTCAGTAACCCGGCCCCGGGGTCGAAAACGTCCATCCCTGGAGGATCCCTCGAAACCAGGCAGGGAATCGTAGGCATTAACATAACCTCTGATCTTATCATCCGTTGAGTTTTCGTGCGCACTATCATCCCGTTCTAAAGTTATCGAAGTTTCCGTTCCTTTTAGGTTTTTGACTTTGTTACTTGTTGTTGCGGATAGCATCACTAAATTTTTTATAAAACACGTATTTAAAACCACACATGGCCGTAAAATTACGACAAAATTCGACCAAAACAGATGATCTTCGCCAACAAAACTTATTGTCAGATTTATCATAGACAAAAATAACAAAGTGTCAATTACTGACATTAAGTCAAACCAAAAACAAAAAAAAATAAACGCTGCAGCACCGAGGAATCTTTGCAAGAGTACTCTGGTTTTAATTTTATAAAAAAAAATTGCGAGTGATCTTTATTGCTGAGAAATTCTCGTTAAGCTCAGTAAATAATTTTGTGGAAATCGTATCCAAAGATGGGCTCATTGCAGGTTATCTAGTTAACTGAATTGTTGTACTTGGATGGGTCACGGCGGGTTCCATTCACAAGCTTTTTCAATCTTTTCGTTTGACTTTTCAATAAACAAATTGTATTAATATAACCTAATTATAATAATTATTTATAAGCTATGTTTATATGAAGCGAGTTACCGGCAGTCAAATTGCTTAAGCAGTTTTTTGCATGGGCATGGTTTAAATTTTAAATGAAAGCGTAACTTTTTATGAATAAATATTACATATACATACATAGTGACATAACATGGCTTCGTCTTTTTTTACAGATTTTTTTCCAGTACCTACGGTGACATTATCAAATAAAAAACTACCCTATGATCATGGGCTTAAAGATGAAATGAATAAAGATGAAAGAAATGAATAAACGTCATAAGTGTATTATGTATGACGGCTTAAGCATATTATCTATGGGCATTGTTTCCAAGCCAGTAAAATTAATTAAAAAAAAGATATCTATGGTTGGTTAGTGTTTTTAAACTGAAATTGAAAAATTTTATATATGTGAATACAATTAAGAAAAATAAACCCCAGGCTTGATTTGTCTATATAAAACAACAAGATTAACATAATGAAAGCCACAAAACGTACTCACGATTTCAAGGGTAAATCTAAACATTAAAAATAACCTCATATAGTACCGTGTTTCTCAAATTTAAATAATGATAAAAAAATAATTTTTCTTACAGCACTTGCATTGAAATTGAATGATGATTCATCGTATCCCCATTACATTTATTTCAAAGAGCACTCAGTTAGAGAACATACGAAAGATAAACCAGCTGGTAGAACAATTTTTATTGTCAACGTTCCACCTTATGCTGACGAAAAAGGCCTTACAAACGCGTTCAGCGAAGCGGGACCCATTTCTTCAGTAAAACTTTGCATAAAGCCTAACACAATGGAAGATGATATTCCTAAATTTATTTCTGAAAAACAGAAAAAGTCCTTTCAGGTTGCATATTTAGTTTTTGAAAAGGTGTCAGCATTGGATAGAGCATTACAGCTGAGTGAATTAAAACCCTTAAACAGTGAAAGTTATAGAATAAAAACTGGCATACAAAAATGGATTGAAGAGTTCAATAAAGAGATCTTACAACCAAAAACATTGAAAGAAAATATTGAAGCATTTATGAAGAAATATGATTCCGAAACTGCTAAAGAGAAAAAGAAAGAAAAAAAATTAGAACAGGAAGATGACGAAGGTTGGGTCACAGTCACAAAGGGAGGCAAAATTCAAAGTTTTGCTCGCACAGAAAAAGTAGAAAACAAAATCTTAGAGAAAGAAGAAAAAAATAAAAAGCGTAAAGAACTGAAGAATTTCTATACTTTTCAAATAAGAGAGTCGAAAATGAAACATATTGTAATGCTGAGGCAAAAGTTTGAAGAAGACAAGAAAAAGATAGCACAGATAAAACAAAGCCGCCGATTTAAACCATTTTAAAATATAAAAGAAAAAATTTAACTTTATTTCATTTACATAGATTTAAAAACCTAATTTATATTAAGTAAGACTTTTAAATAAAAATGTAATCTAAGTTTACAAAACCATCTGTGTTTCATGATAACATTTTACAATATATTAAAAATTTATTCAAAAGTAAAAAATATAAATATCCTTAATTGTATCCATGATTTTGATCATTATGTTATTTATTAGTGAGTTGACAAGAAATGTTTCTTGAAATAAGATCTAGTTTCAAAGTCTATTCATAAAATGAAATCATGCTAAGTTTAAGTAATATTTATTTATTACAAAACTAATTTCTACCTTATAATGTATTCAATTTACATTTATTTACAGTGGATTTGATCACAGACCAAAACATTATTACACCACACCTCTGTACACGGCTCAATGAGTCCAAGACTAAGACCTGTATTCAGTCACAAAATCTCATAACATTCGTCAAATGTTCTGCTGATGGGTTCGTATGACTATGCGGAGGAGACGATTCTCAGGCAGTGTGTCCAGGGAGGCCAGAAGGTTGTTGACGTTGCCGTACACGCAGCCGTTGGCTAGGGATACCTGAACCGCTTGCCCGAGTCGGTTCAGACATTCCTGAGGTGACACATGGAACATTTAAGTTTTAAGTTGAATTAACAATAATCATTAATGGAAATTAATAATAATTCGTCTTACTTTTTCACTCAAATCCAAAATAAAGGAAGGCAAACTATAGACAACTTACTTATGCCTACACCAAAACAATGATTGGCCAAAATTGGTAGGTACCTATCCTTGAAAGCTCACCAAACGGCTAATAACATAATACAGTTCCATCGGTGCCATCACTATTTGTATAATATTACATTTATGTGTCCATTCATGTGTCGTTTACCTGAAGTTTCTCATCATTGCTCAGCTTAAGACCTCGTGTGAGGACGTCATGCGCGTACGTTTGCACGATCGGCGCCAACGCGGCGAGGTGTTGAGCGTTAACTGCAGTCGGAGGGCCTTGGGTTCGTTTGCCGGACCTTAAACTGAAAACATATTAAATAAATAATCACAACAAATTTAATGGCTACTGTGTTGTAAACGGATCAGATGAACTGGAACACATATGAGACCAGAAAAAGTAGTCTCAGACTCCCAATATTCAATATGTTTGCTTCGTTTTTATCACAAAAAATATCACAATAAATTTTACCTATGTAAAACTCCTAAATGCAGTTTGATATACAATTCAGCCTCTGAAAGTTGTTTCTGCTGCACTGTTGTCACTATGGAACGATCAATTTCACGTTCTAGTTTAATTTTTTTCATTGGTATTGATATTTCCATCATCTCAACATCTGAAAAAGAGAAATATATTAAATTATACACATAGTTGTGTATGGTGGACAAGTAGACATGATAATTTCTTCATTCCTAAGCTTCAAATCGAAATGCAGAATTCCACTGTAGCAAAAATAATCAGGACAATAGTGCTGCAGATACATTGTTTTGTAACACAAACCTGAATCATACTCATACATACATAAGTAATTTTGAAAAGTTGTCATACAATTATTGTACAGAAAATTTATTAATTTTGATTAGTTTTGGGAATAGTAGAGAGTGGATTAGAGTATTCTTTATTGTACACCAAAATCATTGATCAATTACCACTGATGACCAACAAACAAATAAATTGTTAAAACATTATAAACATTAAAATGTAATAGTACAATGATCAAACTTATTGTTAAGAGTGATCTCTTTTAGAGAATCTTTTACACAGACAGTAGACAAGATTTTTTTTTACTACTATGTGCTACTAAAAAATTTAACTTCGCCAGATGTTATTTATCACTATAACAATTCAGTATATAAATTAATATGATACCTTCTACATGACTAGGAAGACACAGAGGAGCAAGAGCACACCACCGTATGAGCCCAGCTAGTGGAGTGGCAGCCGCCATGGGTATGGAGCCACTCGGTAAAGACGCCGGCTTCAGCTGAGCGGACATACAGAGTGATGGGTTGGAATACACCTGTAATATAATTTAATTTTAATTCTGCTTTGTCAAGAAATTCAGTTGGTCACATTGCACATCTGACTATTGGACAATCCAATACACAGTACTAAAAACATTTTTCAGAAATTGTTTATAGGTTGATTAAGTCACACAAACAGTTAATGAATTAGGAGAAACTATGAGAACTTATGTAGGAGTCTTTCACCTCTAAATGGATAATTGAAGCATTTAATTATAACAAGAGTTCTGTATCCAGAATGGATGTTCACAATTAAAGTAAATGATAAATTTAAGGAAATAAATAAGTTACTAATGAAAAAACTAAACAAACCCATGAAGTGATGACTTCTAGAAGATTCTTTGGTGGCATTTTTTTTGTTGATAAATCATGAACATATAGTTCTGTTACTGCAGTAATGAAATTAGAAATAAATTGAGGAGCAGTATTTGCCAGCATTCGGAGTTCTTTCTGGTTTTTTGTATTAAGGTAGAAGTGATCACGGATAAGATTCTCTGCTAGTTGCAGAGACTGTGGTGATGAGCAGCCTGTCTGCTGGAGCCAAACTCCTACAGCAAGCAACACCTGAAAAGTAATTTGAGCAATTGAGTAATTAATGTGTGGACTGTCATGTAGGTCACTGGTGTCCTACATGGCGTACTGAAGTAATTATGCCAATTTCTCTTTTCAATCTTCTTACTAAGGCATGGGAATATCTAGTAGACTCTATGAAAGAAGAAACATATTCTTTTTAGGTTAATCACACTTATATACATTACAAACAATATAATTTCATCATAATGATCCTTAATAAATTACTTTCAGTATTAGCAATTACGCTCACTGTGATGCTTTTAATAAATGATATTTATATAACTCTATAAAGTTGTTAACTATGAGAGTTCTAGAATCTTTACTTACCGGAGTGCTAGAGGCTGACACTGCCATGCTAGCCAGGATACTCAGTACCTTCAATCTTCTCTGACTTTCCATACCACCAAACAGCGACAAGAATATTGTATTCTTTGTAGTCTCATTATTGCAAGAGGACAAATATTCACATAAAATATCTATGAGTTGTAGTTCTTGCAATGAACTGAGGCCTGCCCCCCGTCCTCTGTCTCCGCGACGATCACTCTCACAGAAAATGAACTCTGATATTATCTCCATCGCTACAACCAATTGCTTGCTCGTAGGTGCCGTTCGACCCGCTAATAATTGTTCTGTGATAAATAAATTAGTACTTGAGTCGACTATTATCAAAGCCGGCAATGTGACTTGGATAATTATTGGTAAATCAGAAAAACGAATTATTGACTTTGTATTCCATTGGCAGCCACAAAACTCTTCGGAACGACATCTTAGATAAATAACAGGTTAACTATTAACCTTTATTTAATGCAGGTTTTGAACCGTATTCTTTGAAGGAGACGAATTTATTCAAATCAATCTGTATTAAAATATCAATAAATTTTTTTTGTCCAAATGCACAGATTGCCACCTTTGATAATAGACGACTCACTTATTGTATTGGATTTTATATCAATAATTTCATATAGTATTTTGTAAGGGTAACGTAAGTACGTTAATTACCTATTCTAACGAGAGCTTCCTGAGCGCATACTGGAAATTCATATTTCCTTAGGGAGTGTTTCAAATCTGAGAGGGACATTTTTGTGCTTTTTGGAGAAATTTCAGAATTGGAAATAATTAAATGAAATTTTCACCACATTGAAAATATTGTTTTAGTAATAGTTTTATTTTTCCAAATAGAAAGGCAAAAGTATTACACCATACAGCTTAATCTGTTATATATATTTTTAGGAAATATGATATTATGAAATGAAATGGGAAAATGAAAGCAGATTAATATAAAACATAGCATGGCATGAAATGAAATAAATTGAAATGAGATGAGATGAGATGATGATATAGGATATTTGTATGAAAAACGATAATATGGACTGAAATGAAATATTTGAGACATTATTCAACTGGGATGAAATTAAATAAAATGAGATGACATGATATGACATGAAATATAATCTCAGTAAAATGGTGGTCGTTTACTGAGATTTTTTCAGGGGACTTTTTGAAGGATCCCGAGTAGTTACGTCCAACGGCTTTGTTTCATTTTCCCACATTTGTGCACTTTCACAGATACTAAACGGTTAATAAACCACTTTTATTACACATTCAGCCCTGAATACACACTAATTAAACAAAATAAAACAATTCACACAACTTCGCTCCTCGCGTTCGCGCCGTAAAATCCTTTAAGTCATTTAACTTCTTAAGCCTATGGAAGATCGTAGTTATCATACTTTTGCCTTTCCAGTTGGAAAAATTGAACTACTACTCTACAGATTGACTGTCACTGTCACCTCGGAAACGAATTTACAAAATATGTAAATGCCTGACAACAAGCACACATCTAAAGGATACATATTTTATGAATAACGTGTTTAAAAAAACCTAAATAATGGAAGTAATCGTTGCTAACGTTGAGCATATAAAATTCGCTATTGACTATGCTCTAGAAGAGCAATATGGGGCGCTACCGCTACCATTCCCAGGAATGGACAGTTAGTATAGAATTTCTTCTATAACACAAATTGAAATAAAAAAATGTTGTTTGAAGTACCGATCCGAAAACTCGTTTTTCAGAATCTACAGCAGCGGTATGTGAATTTTATTCTCAGCCTGGCGGCTGTGGTAACGGAGCCCAATGCCCCTATAGACATGTTCGAGGCGATCGTACTGTGGTTTGCAAGCACTGGCTTCGAGGACTCTGCAAGAAAGGCGATCAATGTGAGTTCTTGCACGAGTACGACATGTCTAAAATGCCAGAGTGCTATTTCTACGCCAGATTCAATGCATGTCATAACAAGGAATGCCCATTTCTACACATTGATCCTGAGAGTAAAATAAAAGATTGCCCATGGTGAGTATTAAAGTTGATTAGAATATTGTGAACAAATCATAGAACTTGAATTCTAGTATAAAAAGGGCGAAAAAGCAGTTTTAACAGTGAATTGAGTAAATGTAATATATTTTTTCTTATTAAAAGTTTAGATTCTTTGTGACAAATGTTGTTTGCTAATTGTGTTTGTTTGTTGTCTGAAAACGTAGCCTAAGTATGTCCCTTAAGGGATATGAAAAAACTAATATTTGAAGTTGAGAAGTCTGTAAATTGAACATGAGTTTGAAATAAATTAGAATTTAGTTCAATTCAACTCTAAAAAGGTTTCTTTGTTCATTAAAAGAATATCCATAGAATATTGATACAAGACTTGGGATTAATATTTTGAGTTAATTAGTGAAATGTGCTCACCATAATGTTGTTGTATGCTGCAAATATATTTTTTTATGCTGAAAAACGTACTTAACGTACTTTTACTTAAACTTAAACATACTTTTGTGGGTTACAATTAAAGTCTATGCCTCAAGATACTTTTATTTGAAAATTTGGTGGCGATATTTACGTTTAAGTGATGTTTACGGAGTCCGGTAATCACTTAGCACCAAGAGGATCATGAGATGCTTATAAATCCATCCAAGCAATGAAAAAAACTGTCCTTATTACAGGTATGACAGAGGCTTCTGCCGCCATGGACCACACTGTCGTCACAGGCACGTACGACGTGTGCTCTGCATAAACTACCTAGCCGGTTTCTGCCCAGATGGAGCCTCGTGCAAATTTATGCATCCACGCTTTGAATTACCAGCACCACCAGATCAACCCAAAGATGCAAAACGCCTTCCTGTTTGTCACAGCTGTTCGGAAGTTGGACACAAAGCTTCGTCATGTCCAAAAATACCACCTGATGTAAGTCGAACTTAATAAAGTTGTTGTTGGATTTGCATGGTCCATTTCCACAAGATATAGTAGTCTTCCCCAGACCAGCATACTGTCCATCAATGGTTCTCTGCAGATCCCGAGAGTAGATATGAGGACTCTGACTTGCAGATTTTTACTTTATCTCCACATAAAGGCCATAAATCACATTGACATATTGATTGAGATTGAATTTTTTATTTTTTATTAATGTCATTTCTCAATGTGAAACTAAAAAAGCACGGATTAGAAAGTAATTGCTTAAGTGTCATAGTGTATTTAAAGGTCATCTTTATCTATAAAGAGGGCTTCTAAGCCCCTTATACTTTTATTGGCAAGGTTAGGTACGAATATCCTCACGGCTCTTCTGATGTTGACTGTAACCAGTGTGATGTCTATTATCAGAAAAGTAATTGCTCCAAACATAAGACTAGACAAATTGAAAATTAAAAAAATAAAATTAGAAAAATGGCCACTTACCCTTGAGAACTAGAACGATCATTGGCTTTTATTTTTATTTTTTATTGCCTTGGTGGGTGGACGAGCTCCCAGCATGGAGCCTACATCTACAACGTAAATGCACCACCCACCTTGAGATATAAGTTCTAAGGTCTCAAGTATAGTTAGAACAGCTGCCCCACCCTTCAAACCGAAACGCATTACTGCTTCACGGCAGAAATAGGCAGGGCGGTGGTACCAACCCGCGCGGACTCACAAGAGGTCCTACCACCAGTAATAAAGGCATGGCAAAGGCAGTAATAATGGCATGGCAGAAATAAGCACGACATTGAATCAAACTGGACTAGGGCAAGTCCTACCGTAAAGATTCAAAGTAAAAATTTGGAACTCGAACCTATGGTGCAATCTAGCAGTTAGTTAATATGTGACCATGAGACATTCTAGTCCACTGAAGGATCGTTTATTGGCGGCTTCTTCAACATAATCATAAGATAGGCATCAGTATTTGAATTGTACCGTTTTGGAGTCCAGTAACTGATTAAAATCCATTTATTGCACAGTTGGTATTTTACAATGATAAAAAACGAATATAGAGTTATTACATTCATCTATGTTTATTATAGCAAAGAGAAGCAGCCCAGAAGCAAGAGGAAGCTAGATACCGTTCCCTGGGCTATGTTAAACCCGCAATCGAGCAAGAAGACAACAGTGGTCCAAGATTACAAAAAATAGTCCACAAACCCATAGAAGAAGTAACCTGTTTTAAGTGTGGCGCAAAAGGTCACTATGCAAATAAATGTCCCAAAGGTCATCTCGCCTTTCTCTCCAGCCAAAACCAGGGAGGAACAAACTTTAGAAAACAAAACTAGTATTAGTGTGAAGCCTATGTTTGATTAGGCTTCCTGTGATCTGACTTTACAAGGAAACATATTAGTACCTACTTTTGTTGTGAATGAGATTTATTTACAAATAAAATAGTGTTAAAGTTAAATAAATAAGAGTAACTGCTATATTTTGTTATGATTTTGTCCAATTTCAAACGCCGGCAAGTCGCTTGCGTTTCTTTGATAATGGTAATTGTTTAACTACAAAATGCAAGCGAGAAAACGAATTACGAGTAACGAGATTTGCAACCCAGCGCCACTCCTCTCTTCCCAGTGCACGTCTGATGCTTGCGTGCTGACAACAGCCCAAATCGGTCAGGCCGCCTAAAAGTTAAGACGCCCGGTGCACACGCACGTTATGCGCGCAGCTGTTTTAGCTGCTTGAAAATAATTCCACCATATCCCGATCATTTGTTTCCATTTCAAGTGCTTCTAATCTTGACCTAGACTCAGGTAAACCAAAATCTAGATTTAAGAGAAGTCATCGGTCTCGGGCTTACCACTGAAAGTACTTAAAAAGTACTTTCAAAGCAAAGCAAAGTTTCTAGCAAAGTATTTTCAGGTTCATTTATTTCAAACCAATACATTAAATTAAACAGTAGATTCGAGTGTATCCTTACAGTAAAGTAAAGTAATAAAAATGGAAAGGAAGGCTACCTAACAAAAGCAGAGTAATAAAAAACCGTTCGTCTGTTTGTGGGTCTACTCGCGCACATCTCCAGAATAACTAAACGGTTTTTTTAACGATGCAGTTTTCACACGTACACAGGTTAATTTGGTGGTAAATACGAGGGCTGCACTATAAGTATCGGGGCTAAAAGCTAAAAACCCTTTTAGGTAGACAAGCATATGTCCGTTGGTTGATACATATTCGGTAACGTCGGTATTCTGACGTTATGCGTTTAAACGTATTAATAGAGTCGATCTATCGACGGTTCGCACTCAAAGGGATAATAGTTACTTTGACTAACCTCGACTAGGATTCTCTAGCCATTTCCTTAAAGAAGTCATAATAAGTTACTCAGCAAAAAATATTAAGGCTTTTTAATACTTTATTAAGATTATAGCTATAGAATTATAACACGAACAAGTTTGGTCAATTACTCTTGTTATTTCAAAAATCAGATACATTAAAGTGCTGTTTTTAGTGAATCTCTTGTGATGGATGACTTGTTCAAAATCTTCTGGAAAAAATGGATGATTAGACACCAACTCTCTACTGGTGATAGACTTTTATTTCGTGTTTAAAGTTGGCATTAAAATTGTGATTTCTATTTATTGTATTTTATCTATTCGCTGGTAGCTTCTATGGCTTCAGTGCCCACCTAAAGATAGGTGAGTTCTGAGTCATTTTAGTCATCTCTTCAGTGTACACTTCAGTTTTGGTGATAAAGCGTATTGTGAACCTAAAGAGTATCAGCTTATCAACACTACTGGTAGTAGAACCTCTTGTGAGTCCGCACGGGTAGGTACAATCACCCTGCCTATTTTTGCTGTGAAGCAGTAATGCGTTTCGGTTTGAAGGGTGGGGCAGCCGTTGTAACTATTCTGAGACCTTAGAACTTATATCTCAAGGTAGGAGGCGCATTTACGTTGAAGATGTCTATGGGCTCCGGTAACCATTTAATACCAGGTGGGCTGTGAGCTCGTCCACCTATATAAGCCTTAAAAAAAACCCAGTCAAACCCTTAGCAGTAAAAAGTTCGTTAAATACGAACAAACTTTTTGGCGGGAACGCGAGGAGTGTAGTTGTGTGAGTTGTTTTATTTTGTTAATTTAGTATTTCTTTAGGTTTCATTGTGTATTAACAGTACTTTATTAGCAGTTTAATATCTGTAAAAGTAGCCAAAATGTGAGAAAATGAAATAAAGCCGTTGGACGTAGCTTCTCGTGATCTTCCAGAAAGTTCCCTGACATAGTCTCAGTAAATAACCACTGTTTTACTAGGACTAAATTTCATCCGATATAATCTCGTTTCGTTTAATTACTTCCCAATTGATTAATGTCAAATTAATCAACTTCATTTTATTTCGCTCCATATTATTGTTCTTTAAACTAATTTCATTTAAATACAGCATTTACAAAAGATTAGTCTGTAGGATGTGATAAATTCGCCTTTTTGGTGGGAGAAACAGAACTAAGTACTACATTACTGTACCTATACGAAAAGTCATAAAATTTAAATTTGAAAAAAAACTCGTAATTGAACTATTTAGTAAGTCGTTATAAATATATTGTTTTTTTTTCAAACGTTGGGTAAATTGTTCTGCACCATACATTTAATTTAACATAAAAAATGACTACCCTATCGCCAATTATAATGTAACGCCGTATAATTCATGTTGCCTCTGATTATTACAATGAAAAAAAAAATAACCAAAAAAACAAATGTCAAAGAAGCCACAACCCGCGTGTCTTTGAAACAACAGTATCAGAATCGTTAATAATATTTATACACAAAATATTTGTGATTTAAGTGTAGAATTGTGGCAAATACCTAAATTTTCTCTCCCTTACGTGAAGATTATTTCCTCAGTGAAGCGAGAGATCGCCGAGAGGTTGAGTTTTATTAATTCAACACCGCGGCATTGTAAACATGGTAAGTTGCACGTGTTAGCGATCTTCTTGGTATTAATTTACCTATAATAAGTCAGTTTTTTCATTAATCAGTTTCAATCATGTGATATCCAAAATACGGCTGCAATTTGAACTCATGTGAATATTTGAGGTTATCTTGAGATTGATTACATTCTAACTACCTAGAACCTCTAAACTGTTCATAACTTTAATAATCTACTTTCACAGGCTGAAACCGAAGCTGCAGTGAACCCCAAGGCATACCCATTGGCGGATGCCGCCTTAACCGCTAAAATCCTGAACTTGGTGCAACAAGCTACCAATTACAAGCAACTTCGTAAAGGCGCGAACGAGGCCACAAAGACCCTTAACCGTGGTCTATCTGAGCTCATCATAATGGCAGCAGATGCCGAACCTCTCGAAATTGTTCTTCACATTCCAATTCTGTGCGAAGATAAGAATGTGCCATATGTGTTTGTTAGGTCTAAGCAAGCACTCGGTCGTGCTTGCGGTGTTTCCAGACCCATCATATCTTGCTCGATAACCATCAATGAGGGCTCACAACTAAAGCCTCAGATCCAAACTATTCAGCAAGAAATCGAAAGACTATTAGTTTAAGTATAAATAGACGTGTAAGGAAATTATTTTGTGTCGAATACAATATTTTAATAAAATAACGTATTTTATTTATTGATGCTTTTAGGAGCAAAAAGGACCACAGGATCTTTTGCTATTTAAACATAAAAAGTAGTATTTTATGAAGTTTTACAATTGTGGCATCCTCCCTGATAATCTTTTCATCAACAAGTGCTTGTGTATTCAAACTACTGTGAAGTGGTTTTTCAGTTCGATTTGAAGTATAGGACAGCCGAATTGCAATATTATCTACTGAGAGTTTCACGTGATATAGGTGATGACAATCACGATGTGGTGTAAAAACACTTAACTGAACAAATAAGGCACAAGTCATCTAAAAAGAAGCTACATTTGTTTATAAAAAAATTTAGGTCTGCTTTGTTTCCGCTATATAAGTACAAATAAGTCGTCTATTATCAAAGGTGGCAATCTGTGCATTTGGACAAAAAAATGTTGTTGATATGTCAATACAGATTGATTTGAATATAATCGTCTCCTTCCAAGAATACGGTTCAAAACCTGCATTAAATAAAGGTTAATACTTAACCTGTTATTTATCTAAGATGTTGTTCAGAAGAGTTTTGTGACTGCCAATGGAATACAAAGTCAATAATTCGTTTTTCTGATTTACCAATAATTGTCCAAAAGTCACATTGCCGGCTTTGATAATAGTCGACTCAAATATTCTTTAGCAGTAGCAATTTTTTTGTTCACATGCCTTTGTCAACAAGCAAAGACAAAGATTTTTCCGCTTTCTATTGAAGTTAAATTCTTAATCGCAAATCGCATAAAGCCTTAAATAAAACCAACAATGAATCCATGATATTTATTTAACCCGCAGATGCTAGGCGCGAGCTCCGTCTACAACTGCTCTACGAGATCTAAACACTGAATATATTATGTATTTTTATATTTCGCAAAAACAAATTTACTGAAAATGTCTTAAACTTAACCTAAAATAATTTCAAACAATCCTAATCAACATTAATTAAATTCGTCACATCACATCATTACATACACATTGTAAACTACAGGAAAAAAAAGAAAGTTAACAATTACAAAAACGAAAAACAAAAAAAGTGATACTTCATTGCAGTATAATTGAACATGGCTGCGACGGTTTATAAACATTGAAATGGAATTTATATCATCACCAACTTGAAATTTAAACTCGCACGTCAACTATTTCCATAAACACAGAGTACAACAGACTACTACTTGTCCTACAAGATATCCAAGATTAATTACTGAGAATACAATGATTATTGTAAACGAGCTAATTGTTGATTACATTTATATATTGCGAGACTATGAGGCCTCGTCCACTGCACGTGCTCAGTCCGCCCCCCCAACCCCGTCCCGCTGCCCCCCGAGCACGTCTCCCGCGCCACGTGAGCGCCGAACCATTAAAGACTACTATAAATATGATTAAATAACTTTTTTTTTGGTATTTTTTTATTGAAGATATTTCTAGGCCACCTTCAGTGACTGAAACAAGAAAACATTCTTCTACCTTAGTAGCGGATATTAAGATAAACAATTTGAGGCGATTAAATTTATTTGCGGAATGAGTCTAGAGATCGAAGTCGTACGAGGGCGTGGCCCCGCTTCAGTTTTCAAAGATCTTCTTGGCGCGGGTGTCCCAGTTGTCCTCCCAGCGCGAGTCCCGGAACTTGGCGAGCTCGCGGCGCATCCTGTCGGCGAGCGCGATCTGCTCGGGGTTGTCGGGGAAGCCGGTGAACCAGTTCACGACCAATTTGGCGAGCTCGTCGCCGGTCTTGAACGTGAAGCCGTTGACGCCGTCCTCCACCAGCTCGTCCAGGCTGCAACATCACAACGACGGAAACACTACATATGACCGATGAACCAAGCTAGGTGTTGCACTTGAACGCACCGCGAAATTAAGGCGATTATACGACGCGAGTGTACAAAAAGTTATGTTATAAAAATGGAGTATCTATACTAATCTATACTAATTTATAAATCTAGTGGTTTTGATGGATGTTCCGTTATAACTACTGCACCATGCATCCGATTGACTTGAAACTTGGTATCCATGTAGAAAATACATGTACTTAATGGATAGGCTAATATTTATTATGAGTATTGGACTCTCTACACCAGTTGCGGGGGCGTTAATGATGAGAATTTTTGTGAGGGTGAGAAATAATAATGTAAATTTTAAATGCCCAGCGAAGCGAAAGGGTACAGCTAGTTAGTTTATAAATGTATTCGACACGTGCCGGTGGCGGTCGTGCTGTCGGGGAAGGGGCTCGTATTACGTTCCTTGTTACGTATAAAATGACATACCAACAGTAACTTTTTAAAAAGACATTTCACGGAGTTAATTTGGCGATATTTTCTCAAGCCAAAGTGATAGTACACTTTACATTGATATTTGATTTTTTCTCTACCTATACGCTAGTAGCCTAAGAGGCTATATCATCTACGCCCGGGCTGGTAGGTGAGCTCACGGGCTCAACTTGTGAGAATTTTCTAATACAGGCCCTAGCAAGAGCAGTGCTTCGCGGAATCTACCACCGGATCGGAAACGCAACCCACTGAGTAGATCCGGCGAGAAACTCAGTGGGCTCTGTCTGTGGGTTAGTTCGCTCGTCGAACTCTTCGTCGTAGTTGACGAGGGCGGTGACTGGTGCTTGAGAGGTCTAAAAGCACCGTGAGTGAATCCGGGGATCCGATAAGACATGTTTCGGGAGACGGCGGCTTTGCGTTGCGTTATCGCGGTATACATACGACAAGAATGTTACATGACATCCAATTTTAGACGAAAAATTCTGACTTTCTGACGAGTTTGTATACGTAGCCAATTTTTTTTATTGCCCTTGAAGGCAGACGAGCATACGGCCCACCTGATGGTGATGGTTACCGTCGCCCATGGACTTCAGCAATGCCAGGGGCAAAGCCAAGTCGCTGCCTAAAAACTGCTTAAATAACGTGCGGACGTGTTAGCGATCCAAGTGCTAGGCCACGGACGCTTCTTACCACAGGAAGTTGAAGGCGCAAACAGGAAGACCAGCTCCAAACATGTCCACGACTTTCATCGGGAGGTCGAGCCCGGAGGAGCTGGTGTGCAGGCACACTCCGAGGTCAGCACTGGACAAATTAAGTTTTTTTTTTAATTTCTACTATTTAATTTTTTTATTGCCCATGCAGGCAAACTAGCATACGGCCCACCTGAGAGTAAGTGGTTACCGTTGCTCATGGACGTCAGCAATCCCAGGGGCAGAGCCAAGCCGCTGCCTACCAAGTTACACCGGTTTGTCACTGGTCTCGAGTTCAGTGCGACCGGTGGTTCAACTCTGTCATTTTGTATAATGTTTTGAAGAGATCTTAGCGGATTAACTGTGTCCTTGACAATGCTCATGTTCGTGAGTGACGGTGAGTACTTAATATCGGGTAGAGTAAAATAATAATAATGACTATTCTACTATTCGACAGCCAGGACATGATACATCAAGACATAATGTAGCAGAGATGGAGAGACCAGCTCACAGCCAACCAGACGTTGTGCAACCTTGGACTACGAAGTTTAAAATATGCGAAGAAACAAAAATTGACAAAAAACCATCTCTTTAACATTACTCTTGAAAGAAAACACTTTCGCAAACAGATTCCTACCCACTAAGGACCCGGGGCATCACTGACAATCTCACCTAGCCACCATTCTTGGGTAGTCGGCCGCGTCGAGCCAGGGTGTGATGACATCCACGTTCTTCCACTTCTTGGAGTCCACCAGCTGGCGGTAGTACTCCCTCATGGGGCCCTTGCCGGTGATCACGCAGATCAGACGCGGAAGAACTTTGGTTAACGAGTAGGTTGTTTCGTAAACTGAAAGTTATTACTGCTGTTCATTTAAATTATTCTATACTTTTGATTTGATCAGGTACGGTTTTTAACGGCGCGTTGCTCTATTCGGGATTCGATTCCCACACGAACTGCATATCTTTGATAGATATATTTCGGATTCCGAGCGTATGTACTTTTTTCATCATCGTCATTCTCCTGTCCTTCTGCCAGTCATATGGGATCGGAGCAGGATGTTTTCTCCTTCCATACTCCTCTATCATATACAATTTCTTCGCTCACTCCTCTCTTACAGATGTTATCTTTCACGCAATCCATCAAATTTTCTTCTTAGGTCTACCTCTTCCTCTATACCCTTCTACATTCATAGTTAACACTCTCATACCAACCTCATTTTCATTTCGTCTCATCACATGTCCATACCATCCCAAACGCGCACTTCTCGACTTCTCTGTCACAGGTGCCACTTTCAGACTTCTAACATATCCATTCCGGATACTTTTTTATTAGTGTAAATTTATTTTACGTTGCCATGAAATTCCAAATGCTTTTAAGCATCTTGCTTCTCTATTAACGAGAGCAAAAGACTTTATAAATCCTGTGACAGATTTAACCACACAGATTGCTTTGTTATACATTAAGTACTTAGATATAAAACGTTATTTTAAATAACTGTCTGTCAAATAGCAACAGTTGGACATAAAATATGGCATAGTAATATAAAGACAGCGTTTTTTTTTTTGCTTGGGTGGGTGGACTATCTCACAGCCCACCTGATGTGTGGTTACCGGAGCGGAGCCCATTGACATCTACAACGTAAATGCCGCCACCTACTTTGAGATTTTACCACTTTTTATTACACGATGTTATTCCTTCACCATGGAAGTCCATGGTGAACATTTGTCAAGTACGTATTTCATTAGAAAAATTGGTACCCGCCTGCGGGATTCGAACACCGGTGCATCGCTACATACGAATGCACCGGACGTCTTATTCTTTAGGCCACGACGAACATGTCAAAATGTAAAAAAAAGGTTATACAGTAAAATGGTGGGCTTCATACCTTGTAAGGCTTCCATCAAGAGAGTGAAATCTTCATCAGGAGTCCAGCTGGTGCTGCTGAAGATGATGCCGGGTCTATCGGTTCGTGATTTCAGAACGCCGTCCACATACTGCAGTTGAAAAGAGAACAGTGTGCTTAGTGCGAGTTTTTAACGTCCTCGATAGCGTAAATGTTAACGCAAATTTGTATGGAGTTGGAACGTTTGCCTACGTTTACCGCTAGGGGCGCGTTAACTTTTACGCTATCGAGAACGTTAAAAAGCTCGCATTTAGCACACGGAAGTCACCATTATGAAAGATCACTTGTGACAACGCGTTTCACTTTGGAGCAATGCTATTGTGTAAACCAATAGCATTGCAGTTACACATACAAACACTCGAAATGTCAGCAGCGCGCATTTACTCGATAAAATAGACAGAAAGACTGAAAACATAGTGATCCTAGAAGGGCTTGTATATTTTATTCATTTATGTATTTAGAGGAAGAGGTAGACCTAAGAAAAAATGGATGGTTTCGTGAAAGACGATATGTGTAAGAAGGGAGTGAGCGAAGAAATGGTATATGATAGAGGAGTATGGAAAGAGAAAACATGTTGCGCCGAACCCAGGTGAGCGAGAAGGTTGAGAGAATGATGATTACACTCAATGTATTTGTCTACATTGTCAAACTTAATGCCCAATTAAATGCTATAGTCTTGTGTTCGATTCCCAGTCTGGCTTAGGGGCGTTCAATGTGGCAGATTCATTTATTTATGCATAACCTAATTAGCAACAGTACTGGTAATAGTGTGTCATCTGTTTTCTCGGAAATAGAAGAATAGAAGTGGTTTCCGTCGCTCATGGATATCAGTAATGTCAGGGACAAAGTCAAGTCGCTGCCTACTGTTAAGTAATAAAATAAATACATTAAATAGTTTGCTCTTTAAACTACAGTTCTAAAGGGCATTGACAGTAAACTTGCGGATTGATCGTTAAGCAAGGAATTGCGCGCGCATCGTGTCATCTGTATTATGGATCGCAGGGTTAGCCTACTGAGAAACTAAAGCACATTCTAGACTAGGTTTTGATTTCTGACCAAAAATGAAATGCGGCGAAAACCCTAAATTAGAACACCGAAAATTCTCGTCTTCTCAGTGGGTCGCAATTCCGATCCGGTGGTAGATTCTGCAAAGCACTGCTTTTGCTAGGGCTAGTGTTAGCAAATTGTCTCAGGTTGAGCCCGTGAGCTCACCTCCCCGTATAGATGCAGCGGGAATAGCCTCTTAGGTTACCAGCGAATAGTTGGGGAAAAAAAGCATTTTATTACTGGTATTAGGGCGTATTGTGTGCCCGTACGGGTAGTTACCACCGCTCGGCCTATCTCTGACGCAAAGCAGTAATGCGTTCTAGATGTGAAGGGCGGGGCAGACATTGTACTGTAGTACTGACACTCAAAACTCATGACTCAGGATATGTGGTGAAATGGACGTTGTTGCTGTCTATGAACTCCGAAAACAACTTAACACCAGGTGGTTCTTGAACGCCTTCACTCGTCTAAACAATAAAATATATATTTGCGCATCATGTATCATATCGCAAAAAACCAACAAATAAGTATTTTCATTCCTCCAATTAGGCTCCAGGTGTGGGATCCATCTTCGCAAATAGGACCGTAAAACTTATCATTCGTAAGTTTTAAAGAATAAACCATTTCCTTTACCTTGATAGTAATCCACTGCAAAAGTACTTCAAAACGTACCCTAATAAATATACAATAACAAAATCTAATATATAAAATTCTCGTGTCACAATGTTCGTTCCCATACTCCTCCAAAACGGCTCGACCGATTTTTATGAAATTTTATATGCATGTGCAGTTGGTCTGAGAATCGGCTACTATCTATTTTTCATACCCCTAAGTGATAAGGGTTTTCCACCACATTTATTTTTTGGACATTTTTTTTTTGTTACTTTGAGGCATTATGTGGTTAAATGAGGTTTTGATAATTTTATATTCCCTCATCGTTCACAGCGCTACATACCTCTTTCACTAATGTACCACACCCTTACAATAAGTTAGTTTTTCGTTTTCTACACTAGAAATTCCCTAGAAATCTTATATATGGCAAAATAACGTTTGCCGGGTCAGCTAGTTTAACTATATAGTTTGGCCATAAATACTGTTACCTATATAAAAACTTTTTTTTTTTACTTTTTAATTATTTTAAACTTGGAACACGTAGGTATATTATTTTAAAAACTTCTTTCGATTTTGCGCCATTCACATTTTTTTTTTGTTCATTATCAAATTACAATATGGAATGGGGTGTTAAAGTAAATAGGATTGCAGTGATCGCCTTGCACAAAGTGGGTATGGAGCCGTTGGTCATATTTCAGACACTTCAAAAGGTTGGTATCAGTCGTATGTTCGTATGTAGTTCGTTTGTATCAGATACTACACTTCGTCTGTCGAAGACCAGAAAAGATCGGGCCGGCAGCGTACTTTTAGAACTATACAGCTATATAGCTACTAGAACTTTAAGGGCTGTTAATACTGTTAACACCGTTAAAGCCAGAATTCGTCGAAACCCCATCAGGAAGCAAAAAATAATATCGCGAGAAATGAACATTCCAACACAAGACCTGAAGCTATAGCGGTGCTTATCGTCGATATACAGGACATGCCCTAAATCAATCTTTACAATTAAACAGAGTGGATCGATCAACACGTCTAGGTGAAAGGCATAGAAATATCCTTTTACCGACGAACATTTTTTCACGATTGAAGAACACTATAATAAGCAAAATGATAAAGTGTACGCTTACAGTTCTAAAGAAACTGCTCAAGTGGTCGGATAGGTACAACGTGGTCATCATCCTGACAAGTCATTGTTTGGTGGGGTGTTTCTTATCAGAAAACTACATTTTTGTGAAAAAGGAGTGAAAACTTCAGCCAAAGTGTATCAAGATACAGTCTTGGATCATGTCGTGAAACCTCTCCGCAATATACTTTTTAAAAATATACCGTGGACTTTCCAGCAGGACTCTGCACCTGGTTACAAGGCACGAACTAACCAACCCTTGCTTGAAATCAACATTCCGGATTTTATAAGAGCTGAGGACTGGCACTCATCTAGCCCAGACCTTAACCCTTCAGACTTCAAATTATGGTCAGTTTTAGAGGACACGGCGACATTGAGTCTCAAAAAATCTTTGGAGCAAGCAGTGACGAAATTTCCCTTAGAAACAGTGCGTAAGTCCATAGATTCGTGGCCAAACAGATTGAAGGCCTGTAGAAAAGCCAAAGGTGATCATTCCGAATAGAATTTTTTTTCATTTTTAGCTGAGACTTTAATAAATTTTAATAATATTACATTACTTCATTAAAAAAATTGATTTTTATTTGTAACAGAACTTATGGCTGGACTGGGTATATAAATATTATTAGGAATCAGAAGAAAAACCATTTTAAAAAAAAATAACAATTAGCACACGTTTACAGAGACTTAAAACAATGACTCACGCACACCATGTCCACGACTACCTTCTCTCACGAACGCCGCCGATCGAATGAATGTGTCGAGCAAAGGCGTTGCTATTTATAGGCACTGTACCTTCAACATTATTATAAAATTCGTGTTTCCTAAATTAACACTTAAAGTCTTTGAAAGATGTTCTCTCGACGAATGTCAACCGACAAATGCGCCGGTGACGGAGCTGCGTGCCGGTTTTATACCATTTTTGTAGGGTATTCCTTACACGGCCTCTCCTGACTGTGGTTCGTCCTCGACCACATAACTGGGGTCTACTCGTAACGATGATGCGGAAGCGTGCGAAAGATCTTGTTAGGTTCGCGCCTCCCGAAAGTTCAGTAGGGCAGCCGTCCCAGCTCCAGTCTGCAACCACGATGTGAGGCTGCACCACGTGTGGCGGGCGTCCCGCTCGACCGTCCTGATAGATAATCCTGAAAATGCAGGCAGAGCGCATAAGTAGCTCAACAGAACTGCAAACGAACTACTTCTTACTCGTGACTCCCTGCGTCGGGCTTAATGGACCAAAGGCATTATAGTCCCAAACGAGTGAAGCAGCAGGCCACAGATCGAGCGACATCGCCCTCTGCGTCACTGCCAGTCGTACGGCACCGTGAAGTCGGTGGCCCTCGAGCAACACGTGCAGTATGCACGCCATAAGTAGATGAGCGCGCGCAGGCAGCGCGGCACGGCACGCGAGCAACACGTGCAGTATGCACGCAAGAAGTAGATGAGCGCGCGCAGCCAGCGGCACGCGAGCAGTGCGCGCAGTATGCACGTCTGAAGCAGGCGAGCGCGTGCAGCCAGCGGCACGCGAGCAGTACGCGCAGTATGCACGTCTGAAGCAGGCGAGCGCGCGCAGCCAGCAGCACGCGAGCAGTACACGCAGTATGCACGTCTGAAGCAGGCGAGCGCGCGCAGCCAGCGGCACGCGAGCAACACGTGCAGTATGCACGCCAGAAGTAGGTGAGCGCGCGCAGGCAGCGGCACGCCAGCAACACGTGCAGTATGCACGCCAGATGCAGGTGAGCGCGCGCAGGTAGCGGCACGCGAGCAGTGCGCGCAGTAGCACAATCATTCTTAATGCGCATATTCCTGTTGTTATCCAAGGGCCAGTGTGCGTCGCCCTTCGTTAAGTGTCTTCTGCATTTGGTTACCAGTGATCCCTGTAAAATGGTCCCAGACCCACTCGTACGAAGATCGTATTAAAAACGTACGAGTGCATTCCACACGCAGAGTTTATTCAAACGTGTGAAGCTTC